CATTTCTATCTTTGAAATATAGCCACATTGGAATTTAGGGTTTCAATGTATGAATGGAGGGGGAGGGGGAGGAAAGCTGTAGTTATTTTTTTTTTTCAATTATAGAACCAAACATTATAATCAAGTCTCCTTGGAATCTAGTTTGATAAAAATGGAAGTACCAATTCTACAGTCCAGAAAGACCCATAGTGAATTACCTTTCCATTCATTTTCTTTCCAGGCTTGAATCCACTGGCATCAGAAATGCACAGGAAATGCTATGGGAATGGTATCTGCAGACTTGAGTGCTCTACAAGTGAAATGTTAGTTGCCTACTGTATGTTTCAACTGGAATGCTGTGTCAAAGGAAACCCAGACCCCTGACAAGAGAAGCCAGAGAATGCCAATGAACTTGAAAGTCCTCGACATCCTTTCCACCATCTTTCACACAGCAAGGGAATTTAGATTACACTGTGACACTGTCATGTGCCCACAGCTGTGGGTTTTTAGCATTTTTTAAATAAGCCATCAGAATCTTAGGATTTTGTATTTGAAAAGCTGAGCTGCTGCCTTCCTCAAGACAGCTAAGCTTCTCATGAAAACTTAGGATATATTTTATCTCTCTTTCCTCATAGAAAGGTTGTCTTAATTATTTATAGAGGCTTTGAGTTACAGAAATATCTTTTTACACCTAAGCTTTACCCTTCCATCCCTTCAGCTCTCCATTCACTTTCTCTTTGGACTGTGCATCTTAGAGAAACAGATCTGCCCTAGGCCCTGATGACCTTGTATGCTTCTCACATAGACTGCATAGACAAGGCTTAACTGCAGGTTGGCCGAAGTCTTGACTGAGTCTGACCATGCAGTTCTTCTTGAAACACAGGAAAAAGGCCATGTTGTAATGGGCAGTCATGAAGCAGGTTCTCAGCCACCTCCCTGGTTTCATGAAGTGAAAGCATGGGACTTTCCACCTCAACCTCCTCAGGTTCAGCTACAGGCTATCAGACCACTTGGCTATCATTTACAGTTGACTCCTCAGCAGCAGAGGGGCCCAACATCTCTGCTACCCATCATCTGGCCCCTTTAGTTGGGTTCATCCTGTGGCCCTAGGAGCTAACACCATGCTGATCTTACTTTGCTGTGTATGTAAGTAATACATTTTCTAAGTTCATTTGGACTCACCGTTTTCTTTCCCAGTCAACCTTATGAAGGTGTGGTAGGCAAACCTACAACTTCTCCTGTCAGGAAATGAACTCTGTTATTAAAAATGGTAGCTGCAAACTGTTTTATTCTTTTGATACAAAGTGTGTATATTACACAAGCAACCTCTAGCTTTTCTGGGCTCCTGTAAATATGGAACTGAAAAGAAATTGGTTAACTATGGCTAGTCTCTGTACATGGACACATCCAAAAGAAATTTAATTCTAAGATCAAAAGCCTTCTTTAAAATAATGTATTTACCAAATATCTCAGTAAAGCAACAAAATGTGGAAGGGTATTGTCACAATTTAGAGCAAACTTCCTTCAAAATTCTTTTCAGATACCACTCCCTGACATCCCACTCATCAGTGGCAAAACTGCACTCTCTAAAAATAATACATGGCTTCCATCAATAGATGAATGGATAAAGAAGTGGTGTGTGTGTGTGTATGTGTGTGTGTGTATAGTATATATA